GAAACCCAACGTCACTCTGTTGCGAAACGGAATGGAGAATATCGTCTACCGTGTTGAGTGCAGTTCCTTTGAGACAAACTACGTTAGAGAGACTAGTAAACGTCCGCAGACCAGTATGAACGAGCGCGCAAGGGCAATGAGACAGATGTACCAGCTTTCGCTGGTATTGGGACATTGTGCAGTCTCTGGACACACCTTAACTTTCCTGAACGCCGGCATTTTAGGCCGAGATACTGGCCAAACAGCCAGAGAAACGTCCGAAGCATGGCACGTCTCACCAACTTCTCTCAGCCGATTTACGTTTCTCCCTGGCGGCTTACTAGGCCGCGGTTCAGCCAGCGGAACCGCGGGCGGAAAGTCAGTCTGGACGCGACAGTAAGCAAGCCCATGCTGAGCAAGAACAGAATAGGGGATGAACGCATGTCAGACATAACCACAACCGTGGGAGAAGTCGTGATGTCGCAAGGCCTCCTGTTGGGACTAAACGCAGACGAGCGTGAACACAGTTCGCGCATGAGCGCCGACGACGGGGTTCGTCAGCCAGATAGGAACAGAGACCTCGGCAACGGCTCAGCAACCACCGACGAGACGCTCACTTGCAGACGCCAACAGGAAACGGGGACGAGATACGAGGGTTTAGGAGAACAGATGTGAGCATTACAGGCAAGAACCCCGACCGTCGTCCTCCCGACACCGCTCCCCGGTGAGGGTAGGAGGCGAAGCGCATAAACGCCACTCATAAAAACTGAGACGCCATGCACAAACTTCCCTCCGATGATGGAAATGTGTTTGCATTTTTGACGTCGGGACATTAAACCTGTAGTTCTCATGATCACCCCTTCGTATTTATTCCTCGAGACGCGAATTACCCAAAGAAATTATTGTTTTACTATACATATACGCATGAGTGTAAGCGAAGATGCTGACCCCAGGTGTTGAGATGGAGGGAGAAGGTAAGACGATCCCTGGGAAGGAAGATTTAGTCGGTTGACGTTTCGTACTCTTACTCGGGCACATCATTGGAGATAGACAGAATGAGCAATACGTGGTTTGAATAGACCATCCGTGCTCACACCCGATAGGTCCATTCCAATCTTTTCCTTTTGGCTCTGCTCTCGCGCGCAAGTGGTGCCTGATAGCCTCAAACAACGTCGGTTGGTCAATACTGCGGTTGATCGAGTTGGCGTCTGATCTCCAGACTTCGACTACTTCTTCCGCCAAGTTGCTTCCAGCTCGGCCGAGCACTCGGGCACGTAAAAGTCGACCCTGTAATGAGTTTCAAGACTATGAGTGGCGACGTGCGATGGCACATTCTTTTGCTTTACGGCTACAGCGTGCTCATGCATGCGCGTTCTTAGTCGTTTGTTGGTCACTTCACAGTAATTGGCCAGAGAGTCTAAACACTTGACACTGTAAATGACACCTTACATTGATAGAAGCGAACAGGCGAGTCCCAGGTAGCAGTTCAGAAGACGAAGATGCGATCACTGGAACAAGAAATTCATTGGCTTGTCGTTTCGGATTCTCATTCGAACCCATCATCGGATACATTCGCAGATAAGGGTATTTTTTGAATAGAAGAAATCATATATTCCTTTTTTTCTTTAAAAAAATACCGTGTAGAATTTACAAATTTTTGAAGTGGATCCGGACTATGTTGGAAACTTCACGAGACGCATTAATAAGCGGACAGATAAAATTCTTTATGGATGGGCATTGCATAGTCTTAAAAAACCCCATAATTATAAACTTTTATTAAAATTAAGAGGAACTCTTTTCGAGTAAAAAAAGTTAATAAGACCTAATTTTCTACCAAACGAATAAAAGAAAGCAGGTTTGTGGGCATGTTTTTCGTAGAAAATATTAAGTTTTATAAGACCTTCGAAAATTAATGTGAAAAATGCATACTAATTAAGCAGTCATTTTTTCGGTGATTGCTGTTTTAAAACAAAGTCGCATAGAAGTGCATTCAAAAGCCAACATTCTGACGAATTCGAAACATCATGGATTATGTCGCATGGTAACTTATATCACAACCCCTGTCTAAGTAAGCCTTCTTAATCGACAACGGATTTTGTAATTTCAGCTAAATTTTCATAAGATCGGTCACTCACTCTGTACTTTCACAAGAATCAAAGACAAAGCAAATGACCAGCATTTTTTAAACCAGGTTAAAAATCGACATCAAGAACTAATAAAGATATGGTGGGACGCGGGAATATGTATCCTGCAGTACGGCGTTAGAATTGGAGTTACGGTGAGTTACGATACCTCTCCTGGAAGTATGAAAGGTGGCCCTGATTCCCTTATCCATACCCAGGTTTCAACGGTTTTCGGAACACGCCGAAATTTTTCGGGATTTTCACATTTAAAAGCCCTTAAGTTACAGTTGAGTGTTTCATTTCGCGTCTACTTGCTTCCAAAATAAGTCAGCCCATCAGTGCAGAATGCTGACTTTTAAGAAAATCGAAATTCGGCTCCAGAGATGATTTCTAGATAAATTTGTGCGCAGAACTATCAATGGTTACACGATAAATAGCACAAAATTGTCTTGATTTACTTCTATCGTCATCCAAAGACGCACAAAGGAGGTGTCCTTGTCTAGCTCATCGAATTCCTTAAACCTCTCCAAGTTACTGACTTGAAAAGTGGCTGTTTCGGCGTCCATATCCCTCTCGGTTAATTCAGGCATTAAAATCAGTTCGTCAGTGCATCTTTTTGGAAAAAAATTTAACCGACTGGTCTCCTGCCAAATGAAGCCCTATTACCTCATGAAATGTCAAGCGAAATTCAGAAGTATGCTTTCGATCCGAAAAGGCTACTTAAGTAGGTTTGTGATACTAACTAACGTGCGGCTCATGAATGGGCTCCGTTTCGGCCGTCTACAAATAATATATTCTACTTAAATGACTAAATAATTACTACGAGTTTCCCCATTGATTTTTGATGCTCTTGTAAATCCAACTACATTTTACAGAAAACGTGCATAAACATACTCCTTCTTGTACTTATGTGGCAGAAAATAACACCATGTCCAGATTTCATATTCGAAGTAAGGACAATTTTTGGTTTTTAAAAGTTTCTATTTAAGATTTTTAATAAGACCTTGAAATATTTATTCGTACAGTATCGCATCAGCACGTTTATCAATGCGACTTATAAGGTATTCAAACTGGTTTTATGAGTCCTTTATAACGTTTGCCTATAAACGCGGAGAAATATGCAGTGCCTGACCGATCTCATGAAATGGTGGCCAAAATTCAGAAATGCGTTTTCGGTTAGCAAGGATTACTTAGGTGGGATTTTAAGATTGATTACCATGCAGCGTAATCCTATAGCATGTTAGAGTCACCGGAATTTCGGCTTTTGGATGCACTCCTTTTAGACCTCCTGCAGAATTCACACTCGTTAGAAATGAATAATTATGTAGGATGCATTTTTCAAATTGATTTTCGATGGTCTTATAAAATGAAATATATTTTATGACAGAAATGCACAAAATATGCTTTCTTTCACTTATTTGATAGAACATCACATTGCCTTTATATTTCGCAACCAAAGAAAGTGTATATTTAGGTTTCAAAGCGTTTCCCATTTTCCGGATAATTTTGAGCCTGATCTGCCTTTGCTTTAGCGTTTTGCGACTTCAGTCTACAAGGTGCACGGTTTTCGCGTAAGGGAAATCATATATTCCGCTATGACTTCAAAAGTGTGTCACTTAAAGTTCATAATTCCTTGCAATGAATGCGAACTACGGTGTATATTTCATCGGGAGCATTGGCAAACGGACATGTGCGATCCTGTATACATAGACATCGCATGGTCTTAAAAACCTCAGTAATAGAAACGTTTTAAAACATAAATAAACACTTTTTTCGGATGCGAAATATGAAGACAATGTTGTTTTCTATCAAATAAGTAAAAGAAAGCATACTTTATGCATTTTTTGAATAAAATATATTTGAATTTTTCATTTTCTTTTTGTAAAATTAAAAAAAACTCTTATTAGTTAATTAGTCTTTTTACAGGGCGTAGTTTATGTAGACGACCGAAAAAAAGCTGAATAAAAAGCTGTTTTCCTGAAGAAACTGAAAGATAATTATTAGTACAAAGCAAATTCAGCAATCTTGCCAGGTCGAAAACGCATTGCAGAATTCCAGCCAATAGTGCATGCGATAGGGCATCCACTTAACTTTCTTGTGTCTGGATAGCCTTTGCTTTCATCCTTAAAGGTCTGTCAGTCAAGACAGCCGAAGTACTCCTAAAATGCCTACGTAATGTAAAAAAATCAGCTTAGAAACGAGAAGACTACTTTGGACGAGGGTGGCCTGGCACACTGCAGGAGTGAGGAGGAAAGACGTCATCGCATAATTCGCCACTCATTGGATGAAAGTCGTCCAGCCCTTCTAGTTCAACTAGTTGGAAGTCATCAGGAGAGAAGCAGAATAAGTAACCCTTCGCTAAATGTTTTTTTTCTCAGTTCATCAGCAGAAAACCCACTCAGAGGGAATGGGCGATTTGACGGCACTTTCAGGGACAAAATTTCTGCACCAAATTGTTGATTAATTTTCACAAAAATCATCCATGAGCGCTGATGAGATCTCGATCATTTAAATCTCGAATTGCGTGACCAAACGCGAATTTGGCAGCTGCCATTTTTTGGAACTGCGTCACGACTGTGCTAGACGACTACTGCGGGCTGTGAATTGGAGAGTGAATCGGAAATTTCAGGCAAATAATCCTGGTTTTTTGCAGTGTGATGTGTTTTTTAGATTGCCGAGAAACACTAGATCCACATAAAGGCACAGTTGATACTTTAATGTGACAGGTTTCAAACCAATTTTCAGAACCAGGACATTTCGCAAGCTGGTGAGTCATGTGCATTTTCTTTTTGACTACGCCATTCTTGCGCGTCTGTGAACCTTAATTTCAAAGTAACTGAAAATACGAGTGATAAATAGAATGAAGGGCTACCGATTTGGTTCTTTTATAAGTGCTTATCAGCATGTACACAGACGCCAGTGGCTGGTACACTCAGTCAAGTGAATTCTGCCATCATCATCATCATCATCATCATCATCATCATCATCATCATCATCATCATCATCATCATCATCATCATCATCATCATCATCATCATCATCATCATCATCATCATCATCATCATCATCATCATCATCATCATCATCATCATCATCAAACGGATTGTTGGAATGTCGGTTTTTTTGATCTGAGTGAACATGTTATGAGGGATAATACTTAATTACTTAAAGGAATCCGACAACTGGAGTTTTATCCAAAACACTGATGAAACCAGAGATAATAGCGCTCTGATTCGCTTGAAAGTCCGATCAGTGCTCAGGTGCGTAGATGTAAATGTTAAAACAGTGCACCCCTGTGAGCTAGAGGACACTCCCATGTCTTAGCTTATCCCTAGGCTTAAGACAATTTTTCAGGCAAAGTTTTTCAAATAGTTTTCAGGGGTCGTAGGCTTAAGCTTAGGCATAGTGCAAATATTGGAGTTTGACATTTACAACATGCATTCCTGCGCTACAAGTAAACAGAACGTAAAAATATTGCCTAATTAAACTTTACCTGTTTGACGGTTGTCTGCTATACAGCATGTGCCGGCAAGCGAGAGCCCGCAGACACGACAGTCGAATTTATACCGCCTTGTTTCAGTGCATTGGTCCTAGAATTTTTGAAATTTTCCGAAATTTGAAATACAATGATATGACAAATCAACACAGCAAGGGCACTTTGTGTCAGAACGAACGCCTTTCGGCCGCGTAAATAACAATATCGCGCAGTCTTAATGGATAAGCACGCTAATATGCACCCCCCTCGTCATGACGACTGGCCCTGCCCCCGACTCCAGAAGAAGGTAGGGTTAGGGGTCGGGCTAGTCTCAGTGTTGTTTTTGTTGCTTAAAGGTATGTAAGTGTCCACTACACTTGATCAGCAAACGGTGGCCCTTGCAACCTGTTATGCGCTGGCAGTTATTTGAAACCTGGTACGCTGCCGGTAGGTGCGTTTGCGCTACCACTGGGTAAAGAGGTCGTGAGAATGACCGTCCAGCCATCTTCCTCCTCCTCCTCCTCCTCCTTCTGATCCGTCGTAGTGTTATTATTGTTGATTAAAATCCTGGCCAGACTTATTTTGTGGACCAGGGGTGTGGTTGTACGCTTAGATGCGGGTCCGGCCGTGCATCGCCGCCTCCAGTCTTCCTGACTACTTCTTGACACCGAACTCATGTGGGGGGAGTAGAAGGGAAAGAGTGCGGTAGATGCTGCGCAAGTCCACCATCAATTCAAACTTATTCACGTGCAAACCACTGCACCTGCTCTGACCTTGCGATGAAACATAGTGTGAACACAGTCGAATTTTATGTTCGAGCTGCCCTGTCGTATAGTGCTAATGTTACGGGCAGGGTGATAACTGTGTTCATGAATGCTGCTGTTACGATTAGGGGTTGGGGGTTTGGTCTAGAGTAAATTTAAAGGCTACAGTTACAGTGCGTGACCGATCTCATGAAAGTTTGGCCGAAATTCTGAAATGTGATTTCGATTAGGAAGGATTACTTAGGTGGGGTTGTAATATTGCTTATCTTACGGAATAATCCTATAGCATTTCGGACTCACCAGGATTTCAGATTTTTGATGCACTCCTTCCTGATCCTCTGCAAAAAATGACTACTTAAGTTGCTTGCATTTTTCGAGCTGATTTTCGATGGTCTTATAAACTCAAATACATTTTGTAAAAAACGTGCAAAAAATGCACCTTCTTTTACTCGTTCGGCAGAAAATAATACTGCCTTCATATTGCATACCCGAAGAAAGTGTATATTCAGGTTTTAAAAAAGTTTATATTACGAGATTTTCAAAACCGCGCGATGCACATGTATACAACATCGTACATGTCCGTTTACCAAGGTTTTTCATGAAATTTACAACACAGTCCATTGCACAACACAAATCCGTTGCGAAGAGACGAGTCCCAGGAGGCAGTCTTGAAGAAGAAGACACGGTCGCTGGGACAAGAGCTTTATCTGCCTGACGTTTCGGATTCCTGCTCGAATCCATCATCAGAGATAAAAGCCGATACAGGTGGTTCATGCACAAGCGGCTGACGTATTTATACGATGCAGTCGCCATGCTAGCGCATATCTATGAACATTAACAGCTCCCTCCCCCCTCATGCGGGATCGTCGCACTTGGTGTGCTAATTGTTTGATAGCCGACATTCGCGTCGTTAATTTCTGCAATTTTATCACGTGTGTTGGATGTTGGCGCGATGATTGCTCGATCATCTGACGCGCTGACCCGGGTGTTGGAAAGAGTGTTCAAATGAGCGTTCCCCGCGTGGTTACTTACGCCGCCTAGGCGAAGTCTCAGCACGGAGAATGGAATGGAAAGATCAGTGCACTTGTTAATGGATTGGAGGCCAATAAACCATGACTCAAGCAGCTCCCAGCTCACGCGGTTGTCACCTCTTGCGAGAATTTCGGCCTCGTCAAACTTGAATGTGTGGCCGGAACCCGTCGAATGAGCCGCAACTTGAGAGCAGCGTCCTTTTTCCGCACCGCTGCAGCGTGTTCGGCCATTCGCGTTTGGAGTCGTCTTCCGGTTGCTCCGACGTAGTTGCTTTGTCCGCAACTGCACCAGACCCGATAAACGACTCCAGAAGTTTCTTGCCGTGGCAGTGGGTCTTTCGGTTTCATTAACTGACGCCTGATGGCTGCCTCCGGTCGGTGTGCAACTCCAACCCCAAATGGTGCGAGAAGGCGGCCAACAGATTCCGAAACGTCCTTGACATAAGGAAGCGCTCGCCAAACTTTGGTGTCCGTGCGGCAAGGTCTTTCGTCCCTATTGCTTATGCACCGGTTGACGAAGTTGCGCGGGTAGCCACGTACTTATGAATTATTTGAGCCTGGTTGTCATCTGGTGGAAATCCTGCTTAAGCAGTCAGCTTACTGTGTCAGATTTGGTGGAATCCGGACGTTGCTGTAAGTTTGACAGGTAAACTTGACCCAAATGTGATTAAACTCGCGTCGTCCGATGGGGCTTCGTAGCTCAGATGGTTAGAGCGTTGGCTGTACTGAAGCCTCCGCTTGCCGTCATGAGTTCGAATCCCATCGAGGCACCGAGTTTTTCACACTTGTGTCAACGTGAGGTACTCTAATAGATGTGCTTCATCATGAAGTGTTAATCGGCACTGTGAAACATATTTTTGATTCAAATGGACTAATGTAGTAGCACTGCAATACTGATAAATATGCAGCATTGCCTTAAGATGTTTCAGTCAGGTCAGGAGGCAATCTAAAATTTGTATGAAGTGATTCCTGATTAGAATGAATTTTTCCATTAATTTTCAGTGCCATTATAAATTAACTTGAGAATGAGAGCAGAAATATTCTTTTTCGCTCTCACTTGGTGGCAGATTGCGTCTTCTCAAAATTGTATACTCAAAGAAATAATACCTTTCAGTTTTAAAGTTTCTAGTTATAAGATTTTTTCAGACCTTGAAATGTCCACATTTACAGCTTCGCATAATCGCAATTATCAATGCTAATCATACAGCATGCAACTTGGTCCAGGGTCGTCGCATAATTTGATAAGTACTTTAAGACGTCTCCTTAAAGGCGTGCAGGTTTTTTGAAACTCATTTTAGAGAATGTATGCTGCAATTACTTGACAAACTATGAATATAAGTGTAACGGCAAGTGGGCCAAGAAAATGTTGGGCGATTAAAAAGTCTTTACAAACCGAAAGCTGCCGTCTCTTTAGGTGGGTTGGGGAAAAGGAGGAAGTGCGTTAAATACTGAGAAAGTAAACTTTCACTATAGACTTATTCACGCGCAAGTCACCGTGCCTGCTTCACCGTTCCGTGGTGGAAATCGTGGAACACGACGGCTGAACTGTCGCGTAAATGTATGTACAGTGAGTGACCGATTTGATGGAATGTTGACCGAAATGCTGAAATTCGTTTTCGATTTGGAAGGCTTACTTAGGTAGGGTTGTAATACTGATTATAGTGCGACATAATCCAGCAATATTTCAGACTTGCCAGGATGTCGGCTTTTGAATGCACTTCTTTTCCATCTCCTGCAAAACCCACAATTGGTAAAAATGACTACTTAATTAGCAGGCATTTTGCGCAATGCTTTTCGATGGTCTTATAAATTCGAATATATTTTATAGAAAACATGCACACAGATATGCTTTCTTCCACTCATGTAGTGGCAAATCACGTCGATTTTACATTTTATGCTTAAGGACAGGGTATATTTAGGTTTTAACAAGGTTTTCCAATTGCCGAATAATTTTAAGCCAGATCAGCCATTGCATTAGCGTTTAGCGAGTTCGTTCTACAAGGACGCAAGCTTTCCGTGTAAGGAAAATAATTTATTCCTCTACGGCTTTAAAAAGATACCATGTAGAGTTCATGCAATTTTGCAATGAGTGCGGACTGTGTTATACATTTAATGAGGAGCAATGTTAAACACACAGGTACGAGGTTGCACGAATGTCCATTGTACGGTCTTAAAAATCGTATAATTAAAAACGACTTTAAAGCCTAAATATACCCCGTCTTTAAGCATAAGGTGTAAAATCGACGTGCTTTGTCACCGAATGAGAGAAAGACAGCATATTTGTGCGCATATTTTCTATAAAATATATTTGAATTTATTTGATCATCGAAAATCCATGCGAAAATCATTTTATGTGTGCCAGTCTCAACATAGTCGGGCGCTACAAAACTCCCACAATTAGCATGTAGAATACGTGAGATCGAACCAATGTTCTTAACACGTGTAATCGACAGTTTGATTGAACAGTACTGCCCTTTTCGGGCCACGATGGTTTTGTGGATGAAAAGGCTCCTGATCAAATTAATTTCAAGATAGTTGCTGTTTGAGCTTCCCAGAAAAAAGAAATTGGCAAGGATAAAATATGTGATCGCGCAAATCCAATTTCAATAAATTTAGATGGAAGACCTGGCATATTATTTTTCCATACTCAGAAATTTAGCTTGAAGGGCAGTGACTGTTTTAGGGAATCTTGCATGTTGCTTTTCCTCTGCTAATCAGCGTTTTCTTTCGACGCCTTGATCAGTCGTACAAGTAATTTATCTTCGTGCAGATTCGTAATTTCAGTAAAGGGGTTTTGAGGTTGTTCAGTCTGACGCACCAAAGATTGACAATTTCCTACCAGATACAGTAGATGTGCAAAGTCTTGAGATGTTTATTAAAATTCCGAAATGCATTCCCGACTCGAAAAGATTACTTAATCAGGGTTGTAATACCAGTCACAGTGTAGTATTATCCCATAATAATCCAGTTACTTTAGGATGCCGGCTTTTAATTGAATTTCCTTCGGGTCCCGTGTAAAAGTCTGCATTGTAAAAAAGGAGCACTTAATTTGCGTGAGTTTTCTCATTGATTTTTGATGCCCTTATAGATTCGAATATATTTCATAAAGAGCATGCGGAAAAATATTCCTCCATTTACTCATTTGCTAGAACATCTCATTTTCTTCAAATTTTACACATAAAGAAGTGATATAATTCGGTTTTTCGTGCGCCGGAACAAAGTTTATTCGAAAGCCAGCATCTCGTGGTAACTGAATTATTTTAAAATTATGTTGCACGATGAAGAGTTTTAAAACTCCACTTAATTATTCTTTTCGAAACGAGAGCGCATTTTAGAATCTTGGTTAACAGTCTATGAGTTAGCACAACTACTGTATTTCTGGCTAACATTAGTAAACGCTATCCAAACCGAAATTTGCCCCACAGACGTACGACCTAGGAAGTCGGAACGACGTACGTGCATGCAGTGACGTCTGTAAAAGAATATTATTAGGGGTCTTAGGATACTTATACGAATATAACGATACACAGGATAACGACAAGGTAAGGCTTTAATGTAGTTCTTACGCAGAACCCATGAAAATCATTAAGCATTCCAGCGTTACCATTTATCACCGCATACATCTGCCCATCGTCCTTTAAAGGCACAAGCGACGGTCCAGAACAGGGTCGGTGTTATTCCATCATTATACACTAAATTAAGACATTTCAATCGTGCCGTAGCGGCAGACTAGGCTGAAATGTTTGACCTAATTTCCCCTAACGGAACTGACCGAGATAGAAACACGTGCAAATGTCACATCTTTATTAAATCACCAACCTAACGGGGGGCTTTTGTGTCCACCAACGAAGTTGGAAAATTTCTCAAAGCAATTTTTTGCGGAAGTGCGTGGGCGCGGGTTACAAGACCCTCAGTTCTCTTAGTTTCAGCATAGGACGTTTGAGAGCTGCGCTTGTGTGATGAGAAAAGGCCCTGTGTCAACTTGTGTCCAAAACGTAATTCCTTTTCCATCCCGCTTAATGAGTGAGCAAATGAGATTGATTGATGTCGTACTTTTGCAGACGGAGTACTGCTCAGAAGATTACTTCAGCATTCATTTAACCTTTCTTCTTTAAAAACCCTAACTGAAGGAATTGCTGATTTTTGGTTGACAACGACAACATCCAGCAATGATTATCAAGTTTCACATATATTATTTACAAATTGGAAACTGATGGAACCAGTTCTCATGTCAAATTCTGTTCATAATTCACTGGACGAAGATGATTAATTAAATAAGGTCCCCAAAAGAGACGTGCCGCAAATGAGTTTATGTGACTCTTGACCGAGACACTATGACAGTTAAAATGAAGCCTCTTGTTTCAAAGCTACCCACAAAATGGTCTAGTGAATCGCTGTTTGAGTTTGATTGTTTTAAGTAAGGTTTGTTTGGTTGAATTAAGATGACCTTCTTAAGACGTCCCCATAAATTGGCATCGGCGGAAACAGCGCGCTGGGTGGCGGTGATTACATTTAGGCGAATGGGGTTGCAGTGGGAGAGACTTACGAAGCTCCGAACTCACCACATCCATCATGTTCCGCAGACAAGCCCGCGTCAAGAAGAACAAAGCCCTGTCTTCCATAATTAACCGACACGCCGGCCATTCAACCTATACGAACAAGACTTCTTCCAATCAGTTATCATGTAAAGGAGCTGTTGGAATCGTACTCACCGCCATGAGGGATGGATCATTTTGTTCCACCTGGTAAATACTCCGGCGAATATCTTCCAGGCATCTTTTCCTGTTTCGTTAAACTATTACTCGACCATCCTCACTGGCCTTCATGCAACAAAGCCAACTATTTAATCAAATTGTCTTCTTCTATAGGAGTCCGATGGGAAAGAATAGAAAACGAAGGCTTTGCACGAACTGGCTTTGTTTTAACCAGGATCCCCTTTGACGAACTCTCCTACCTAGTCACCTGAAAATAGAATATCCCTTATGATATGTTCATCTCTGAATGAAACTTACGGCCAGTTCTCTCACGCTTTAACAACGAATAATCAATGGATCGTCGACAGGTGTTAAGCCCGATTGTCCGTAAGGTCCCACACGAGGAACAGGGAGCCATTCGCCGGAATCACTGCATTCTTCCGAGGTCTCCAGCTAGCACTGTGGGCAGTTCACGAACACTAGAAGGCACTTCCCGCGGCCTGTGGGTCATTAGGAGAGACGGAACTTGCTGTCGGATGAGGCTCCTAGTCTCCTCCATTGCCTTAGTCTGAGTAAGGATTGATTCCACTGCTGCAATCATGTTAACAGGGTTGATGTCAATCGTCTTGAATGAAGCTTTGTGATGTAAAACCTGCATCTGATCCTTCATCAGCTCCTTTGACGACAGGTTGTGCACTTGTTTGTCGTTTCTGGGCGACGTTTGATTGGGCAGCTTTCGGTATTTGTTCTCCAGTGCCGCGTTGCGTATCATTTTCTGTTAACGGGCTTGTTCAGCCACCCTCCGCAGAAGTAGATTTGTACCGATCTCGTCTATGGACTTACAACATATGACCTTTTCTTGGTCAATCTTTTGACGGTACGTGCGAAGTCTCGCTTGGCAATCTTGGAACAGTACTCGGATAATTATTCTGTCATGCTGAAATACCGCTCGTCTCGCCGAATCCGTGTTCACCGGCGGCTTTTATGAAACACATTTTGGCAACACATTATGGTCGAGACACCTGTGCAGAAACCGGATCTGCGAATACGTGGAAGCCTCGCGAAAGGCGAAGGTTTCCCATCGCCGGGCCGATCGGAGCGCATCGCGCCCTAATACCTTGTCAATAGAGGCGAAGAGACAAGTCCCAGGAAACAGTCTTGAAGAAGAAGACATGATCGTTGGGGCAAGAGTTTTTTAGTTTGACGTTTTAGATTCCTGCTCGAACCCATCATCGGAGAAAAAAGCAGATACCCGTATCTGAGGCGATACGATTCAACCTAACATCGGCAGAATTCTCATCAGGGAACCGGGATAGACGTCTGACACGGGGAGATGGGAGGTATGGCAGAATGACACCGTGGAGATGTTGTTTCATGCATACAAAAGTCGGCTAATCGAATCACAGGCCAAGATAAAATAGGTAAGATACCGTATGCGGCCGTAAATTTCGTAATTCGAGAGATCCGAACTGCATTCTAGCCCAGGTCAAAAACAAGTAACTAACAAACCACATGTATTTTGCATAGAAGACTAAAAATTTATATTAAAAATGCCATATTCAATATGGGAGCCACTGTTAGAAATGACTTTTTCGGTTTTCGGTCTGAATTTGGCTCGCGTGTTCCTGAAGTACTCTGGTGACATCCTGGTCCACGGACATCTTCAGGGCTTCAATGATGTTGAGAAACTTGCTCCATGACTACTCTTTGACGTACACCCAAATGCTGTAGTCCAGGATGTTGGCCACATATCCTAAAACCAGAAATAAGACATGTGGCCTTCCAACCACTTTACTGCCTTCTGTGACGTATGTGGGGACGCACCATCTTGTATAAAGATCACATTGTTGTCTGGTGCATAACTGGGATTTCTCAAAGGCTTCACATGCTTCTGAAGAACATCCATGTACATGCCTGTGTTCAGTTTCACCCCGGCCTTGATGAACACAGGGGGTATTACTTTGCCATCTCGGGTCAAAGATCATCACAAACGCAGGATGTTTGGTCCGGAGCTTGCGCTTAACATTCGCAGGCACCTCAGTGACCTTCAGGGGGCTTATGTAGCGATTTGTTTGACTGCTGGACACCGAATCGACCTGAAGAGTTTTTTGTCGGATTAGAGCACCGCGTGTGTGGTCCCTTCTTGAGGAAGCTAAAGATTCTCCTACAGTCTTTTGTCTTTGACAGCCTCAGTAACGAGATGCTTCTTGGTCCTAGCACTTGACTTAGCCTTCAGGTTCTTTCTAACTACATTCCTGACTGTTTGCTCCGATATCTTAAGCCCCAAAGCCAGCTTTCGCATGCTCCGGACTGAATTGCCACGCATGCGATCCGTAAAGCCCTTACAAAACGAGAGGTTCACACGTTTTTTGTTTTTCCACTGCCAGGCTTCATTCCAGTGCCGCCGAACTTATTATAACGGTCGATAGTTGTGTAATCTGTTAACCTGGCCATTTTTTCCTTTGCAGCGATGTCCGTAGGCGAGGGGCCATTGATGCTGAGCCTAGCAACTGCCTCATGGCCTTATGGCAAAATACTTGAATACGTTCTCCAGATAATTGCTATTGTATTGTTACTACGGTATTCTAAAGGCAAAGCCAAGATTTCAATAAGAATATTTTCCAAAAGGTAGCGGCAAAGCTATTGCAAAATTTTCAATCGTATGCGTTACTCTAGCCGCTTCTTTTGAAGTTACTTCTGCATTCGTAGAAATAGGTGAAAATGACAAAAAATGATTTAAAAACAAAAGCCGCAAGTTCCAACTAGTATATTGATTTTGTCAGGTGTTTTTACACCCAATGTTGGAGGTAGGGGAGAGAAACAGGTTGTAAGCATTAACGCAAATCAGAACCACCAATTCAATTAATTTGGCCTGTAATTGTCCAAGCTCAAAATTAGGATAGGCAGGCCCCAAGGGAGAGCTTGTATTTTGAACTGTGATGGAGGCACCAGTTTGGACAGAAACTCAGTCAAGGGGTCTGAGGCGGTTGAGAAAGTGGGACTGCCTTAACTACCATAAATCTTCCATTTGACCTACATAGAGATCCCCTTTTTACTAGAGTTCGTAAACTTCTGTATTATATTCGTTTTTTACGTTCCTGCTACAAGCCTTAACCCTTAGTTTGGCGATTCCTAGACGCCTGCATTCTTCGCATATCATTTATGGTTCTTTCGTCATTTTTCCTTCTTTGCTCGAAAATATCTGTTAATTTTTACATCTAGTCCTCCGAATGCCCTCTTCTGCCGCCGGTATTTCTCATTTTGGTCGATATTATCCTTCAACGACATTTCACAATGGTCAAGCAATTTTCTGGTCGAATTCTAGATGACGTTGCCCATCTCCTGCATTTTAATCTTATTTCTACGAAGTCTTCCCGCCCGATGCACCGCAGCTTCCGACTTATCTCTTGTCGTACATCGGAATATCGACATTCAATATTGTCATTCCTGCCGCGTTATCTTTCGTGGGTGGAGAAAGAAATGCAGAAGTAAAGACTCGAACTGTCACCATAATAGTCGTTCCTTTATTTATAAAAAATTTTGGCCCTTGAGTAATTTACTAACTTCTTTTCTGTTCACAGCGAATTGAGCCCATTTTGCTGAAAGTTTTGGACTTATAATCTCGAAATAAAGCGAATTTTCCTCCCTGTCTCATAAGGTCCGGTTCTGGTTTGGAAGAAAGGACTGGTGACACCAAAATGACGGATTGTTTCTGTACAGAATTCTGAGTTGTTGTGACCACCGACGCTTTTGACAGTGTTGCATACCACCCGAGGGACGAAGAGAGCACGGCAAATCGTCTTATGATTTTTTAAGCTTTTTGTGTTCTTGCCCGCAAGGACTGAAGCGCCAATGATATGGACAGCGGCCTGTCTGGACGTACAGTGGGCTAACTCATGGAATGTCAACCGAAATTTCGAAATGTGTTTTCGATTCGACAAGACTAACTAAGAAGAGTTGGAGAAGCAATCCTCAAGCAGCATAATTATGTATTAATTCAGTTGCTCTAGGATGCCAACTTCATTCTGGCAGCATGCAAAAGCTATACTCTGTAAAAAAGTACTATTTAAATAGCATGCATTATTCTCATTAATTTTCGATGCCCTTAAAAATTTAATCATATTTTATGGAAAACATGCATAGCAATATTAATTCGTTTACTCATTCGGTAGAAAATTACATCTTCGTCTTCCAATTTTTTACTCAAAAGAAGGGGATAATTGGATTTTCAAAAGCTTTTCCATTTCTCGAATAATTTTCAACCCGACCTGCCGTTACACTCGCATTCAGGGTTTCCAGACTACAAACCATATATTTTCCGCGTACGGGAAACCATGCGTTTCTCTTCAATATTAATTGACCCATGTAGTTAACTCTACGATCTACATTGGTAAATGCGAAGAAAAGACGTTTTATGAACGTCCATTTCAGGATATTAGAAAATCTGACAATTAGAAACTTTGCTAAAACCGAATCATCCCCTTCTTTTAAATATGAAGTTGGAAGATGTAATTTTCTACTGAATGAGTAAAAGGATGAATATTTTTATGCATTGTTTTCATGAAATATAATTAAAGTTTAAAGGGCATCGAAAATCAATAAGAATAATGCATGTTATTTAAGTAGCAATTTTTTACAGAGTATAGATTTTCCATGCCGCCGGAAAGAAGTTCATTCGAAAGCCGGCATTCTGGATTAACTGAATTCTTATAGAATTATGCTACTTGATGATTACTTCTCCAACCCTACTTAATTAACCCTTTCGAATCGATAACGTATTTTGGAAGTCGGTTGACATTTCATGAGTTAGCCCACCTACTGTATTTATGTCCATGGTAATGAGACGGAGCAATCAATGGGGCTGTAGAGTCTCCTCGTCT